ATTTAACATTCCCACCAACAGTGTAGGAGTGTTCCCTATTTACCACATCCCTGCCAGCATTTATATATATATTTTTTGAGAGGTTTTCGCTATAGGGCGTGTTCGCTCGCCAGACAGAGAGAGCTATAGAGACAGAAAGCGAGAAATCACCCCCCAGGGGGGATGGCCACGCCACAATCCCTTCTCCTCCATTCTCCTCTCGGGATCTTGGGCATGCATGCACACGTGCCCGGCGTGAGTTTAAGCCACTGGGTCCAGGACATGAACTGCAGTTGACTACGTGGGAGTCCAGCGACATAGCCATTACGCTAACTGCTGGTTCCCTCGTTTTTGTTTCTTTTTTTAATCTTCACCATTCTGACTGGGGTTAGGTGGTATCTCACTTTCTGTCTCTCTAGCAAGTACACACACCTTGAAGCAAAAATCTCTCAAAATTAAATAAATAAATACATAAATAAACAAAAGAACTCATCCTCAGAGAATTATCATTATTTGAAGTACCTAGTAATTCCTGGAAAACATCATTTGCAAGGCTGTTGTTATTAGACCTGACTCACAGTTTGCCCTGTGTGGACAATTTGCAGGGGCATTGGTTGAAACCACCAGAGGCGGTTGTTTTTCACAGCCACTGCCTGAGAGGGGTAGATGATGAGCCCATCAAGAAGTTTAGAAGGATTGAGGCCAGAACATGGCAAAGCAACTGGACCCACCTGGGAAAGTCCCAGTTTTGCCTCTGGATCCTCCCTGGATACTCCAGATCCAGGCTGGCTGGGGCTGGCTGGGGGTGGATCGTGGATCTCAGCCTGAGGGTCTTGTTGGAGATCTCTTTCTCTCTCTAGAATAAATAAACAAAAAAGAAAACTTAAAAGGAAAATGTCTGGAGTGTGATATACATAGGAGGCTTTGAAAAACTCTAAGACAGCCCTGAAAATCTAGAAGACCACACACATGTGTAGAGCTATGTAGATGGTCAGGGCTAGCCACATACTCAGGAAAGACCTGAAAAGACTCTAAGCTTTCACTTCTAGCTCATCTTGAAGTGCTATTTGAGCTATTTGTGAAGGCTTAGGCAGTGTTTCAGCTGCCTGGCTGAGTGCTGAAAAAATGTCTCGACACGTAAGAACCCTTCTCAAAGACTGTGAAACCTGGGACCAGTAGGTGGCATGGCATTTAAGGCATTAGACTTCCACATGGCCAACAACGGTTTGAATCCTGGACCTGGTGGCTTGCTTTCTCACTTTCCCTCTCTCTGTCTGTCTCTCTGGTGAGCACAATGTCCTATAGCAAATTTTTTCTTTGTCTGTCTCTCTGGTGAGCATAGTGTTCTATAGCAAATTTTAAAATAACAGTAATAATTCTTTTTAAAAAGTTTGGGAAACTTATTGGTTCTAGGACTTTAAGGAATTCTCTAGTCATTAGTTGACTACTAATCTAACTTTGCAAGGATATCAGTGACTACAACAACAAAGGATTTAGACTCTTTGAACATTTTTATAATTTTGATTTATAACTCCACTATTTTTTTAAAGAATTATTTTATTTAACTTTATTTATTTATTTTAATTTGACCAGAGAGGGACAGAGAGAGAGAAAGTGAGAAAGCAAGCTGCCAAATCCGGGACTTGAACTATGATCATCTATATGAAAGTCCAGCACCCCAGCACCCCTAACCACCACGCCACCTGCCAGTTTCTGTAACTCCAGCTTTTAAAAAAATAATTATTTATTTAGAGGGCATGGTAGCACCCACCCTATGGTAAAAAATAATTACTTAATTTTATTTTTTATTATCTTTACATTTGCCACAGGTCACACATGCTCAGCAGAGAGAGAGACTGAGAGAGAGGGAAAGTTAGAAAGCAAGTGGCCAGGTCCA